TTATAATTAACTCATCATTACTTGAAAATTATAGTAAATATAATTTTATCTTAATAATCAGCAATGAAGCATAAATTTCATTACACATTTTTAATGATTAGACAATTGTGTTTATAACTTTCTTTGTCATATTTTTAACTGTTATGCATTTAATATTTTATTTAGTCCATTTATAATTAATGTAATCATCAATATATACATTTTATTCTTCTATTTGTTTCCTAGCCTTCTTTGTATTAATCAAATATATTTTGTCATTTTTCCCTAAAATTACATCACTAATTAAATGTTATTTTAATATTCTTTTAATAGTTACCTTGGAAATTACAATTTATGTCACTGACTTACACAGTCTATGACACATTATTTCTTTACATGTGAAAAAACTCTAAAAGGAATTAAATATCACATTGATAATGGCATCTCAGAAAATAAATACAGAACTAATCCAAGTAACTTTTGAATGGCCTGTGTCTTCAGCCATATATACCTTCAATGGAATATAATCTAAAGATAAAAAGAAACAAACAGAAAATTTAGACTTCATTTAGGGAATTTTTTATCGTTAGTGTCGTGAAAGCAGAAATTCTAAATGACTTTATGTGTACAGTAGAATTAAGCAAATGAATAACTATGTAAATATTGGGAAACAGAGTTTTTTTCTGTGGGAGAAGAGTTTATGTATATGGACTGAGGTAAAGAAAGGGAGATCCTGGTGATGAATTGCACCAAGGCTTTGTTGTTTAACCAGCATTTTCTAATTGTGAAGTGACAGTCATCCTAGATTTGTTCATACTATATATTAGTCTGTTTTCACACTGCTATAAAGAACTACTTAAGACTGGGTAATTTATAAACTAAAGAGGTTTAATAACTCACAGTTCCACATGGCTGGGGAGGCCTTGGGAAACTTATAATTGTGGTGGAAAGCAAAGTGGAAGCAAGGCATGTCTTACATGCTGGTGGGCAGAAGAGGGAAATATCACACTTCTAAACCATCAGTTCCCCTGAGAACTCACTCACTCTCATGAGAACAGCATGGGGGAAAATGGCCCTATAATTCAATCACATCATACCAGGTCCCTCCCTCAACACATGGGGATTACAATTTGAGATGAGATTTGGGTGGGGACACAGAGCCAAACCACATCCTTCTGCCCCTGGGCCCTCCCAAAATTCATGTTCTTTTCACATTTCAAAACCAGTCATGTCTTCCCAACAGTCTTCCAAAGTCTCAGCTCATTTCATCATTAACTCAAAAGTTCAAGTACAAACTCTCATCTAAGATAAGGCAAGTCCCTTCTGCCTATAATCCTGTGAAATAAAAAGCAAACTAGTTACTTCCAAGATTAAATGGGGGTACAAGCATTAGGCAAATACTGCCATTCCAAATGGAAGAATTGGCCAAACAGGCTTCATGCAAATCCCAAACCCAGAAGGGCAGTCATTCAATCTTAAAGCTTAAAAGTAATTTTCTTTGACTCCATGTCTCACAACCAGGGCACCCTGATGCAAGAGATGGGTTTGCATGGCCTTGGGCAACATCACTGCTGTGGCTCTGCAGGGTATAGCTCCTGTGAACTGCTTTTGGGGGCTGGCGTTTAGTGCCTCCAGATTTTCCAGGTACAAGGTGCAAGGTGTCAGTGGGTCTGCCATTCTGGGATCTGAAGGATGGTGGTCCTCTCCTCACAGCTCTATTAGGCAGTGCCCCAGTGGGGACTCTGTGTGGGGCTCCAACCCCACATTCCATCTCTGTATTGCCCTAGTTGAGGTTCTCCACGAGGACTTCACCCTGCAACAGACTTCTGCCTGGACATCCAGGCATTTCCATACATCTTCTGAAATACAGGCTGAGACTCCCAAAGCCCAACTCTTGTCTTCTGTGCACCCACAGGCCCAACATCACATGGAAGCCACAAGTGGTAGGGGCCTGCACCCTCTGAAGCAATGGCCCAAGCTCTACCTTGGCTGCTTTTAGCCATGGATGGAAATGGAGCAGCTGGGACACAGGGCACCATGTCCTGAGGCTGCATAAAGCAGTGGGGCCCTGAGCTGGCCAATGAAAACATTTTTCCCTTGAAGTTCTCCAATCCTGTGATAGTAGGATCTGCCCTGATGCTCTCTGAAATGCCCTGGAGACATGTTCCCATTATCTTGGCTATTAACATACATCTCCTCATTATTTATGCAAATTTCTGCAGCTGGGGGTTTGAATTTCTCCCCAGAAAATTGGATTTTCTTCACGACTGCATGGTCAGGCTGTACATTTTCCAAACTTTTTGGTTATGCTTCCTTTTTAAACATAAGTTCCAATTTCAGATTGTCTCTTTGTGAATGCATATGACTGTACACTTATAGAAAGAGCCAGGTCACCTCTTGAATGCTTTACTGATTAGAAATTTCTTCTGCCAGATACCCTAAATCATAAATCTAAAGTTCACAGTTTCACAGATCTCTGGCAGGGGCAAAATGACTTCAGTTTCTTTGCTAAAGCATCACAAGAGTAACCTTTGCTCCAGTTCCCAAGAAGTTCCTCATCTTCATCTGAGACCACCTCAACCTGGAGTTCATTGTCCATATCACTATTAGTATTTTTGTCAAAATCATTAAACAACTTTCTAGGAAGTTCCAAAGTTTCCCACATCTTCCTGTCTTTTTCTGAGCCCTCCAAACAACTTTAACCTCTGCCCATTTCCCAGTTCCAAAGTCACTTCCACATTTGCAGTTTACTTTATAGCAGTGCCCCACTCTGCTAGTACCAATTTGCTGTGTTAGTCCGTTTTCACCCTGCTATAAACAACTACCTGAGACTGGGTAATTTATAAACAAAAGAAGTTTAATTGACTCACAGTTCCTTATGGCTGTGGAGACTCCAGGTAACTTAAAATCATGGCACAAGGTGAAGGGGAAGCAAGATACATCATATATGGCAGCAGACGAGAGACAGAGAAAGAGAGAGACGAAGTGCCACAGTTTGAAACTATCAGATCTCATGAGAACTCACTGACTATCATGAGAACAGCATGGGGAAACCACCCCCTAAATCCAATCACCTCCCACCAAGTCCCTCCCTTGACATGTGGGATTACAATTTGAAATGGTATTTGGGTCAGACACAGAGCCAAGCCATAGCATTCTAGGTAGAATAAGTTTCTCAAAAAGATGATGTTGAAAACCTTGTTGTCAAATTTGAAAAAAAGAAAGTCCTAATGGGGCAGAAATGAAGAGGGAAGCAGCACAGCAAGTGGGAGTTGATACCTTGGGCATCACAATGATTTGGTACCTAGACAAAGCTCCTAGGGCTGCTTACTGGGAGGTTATTATTCAAGAAGGACATGAGAGAAAATACTTGATTGTGCACAAGGGAGGGAGCTTAAAATAAGATCCTTGCCTAATGCTGGGTGCCTCAAAGTGCTGTCCTGCTCACCAGATAAGAAGATTAGACGAACTGTATACTGGCACTGGAAAATGGTTGGGATGGCTGCCACCAAAACATCCTTGGATGAATGGAGGGAAAAGCCAACTGCCAGAGCTACTAAACTCTAGGTGTGAGTTGCTGTGTATAAAATTAACATGCTATAAACGAAAAGCCCAGTGATACCTCACGGCTCTGAAAGGGGGCAAAACAGCCCCTAGAAGAGACATATTGCCTCTCCATAAACAAATCAACTAACAAACAAATAAATACACCTTATACAGTTTGTATATGTCGGCCAAACCTCATGTTGATATGTAATCTCTGGGGCCTGGAGGGAGGTGATTTGAACATGGAAGTGGATTTCTCATGAATGGTTTCACACCATCCCTCTTGGTTATCTCCTTATAATAGTAAGTGACTCATGAGATCTGGCTGTTTGAAAGTGCGTGGTGCCGCCCTCTCTCTCCCCTGCTTTCACCACATCAAATTTCTGCTTCTGCTTCACCTTCCACCATGAGTGAAAGTTTCCGCAGGTTTTCCCAGAAGCAAATGCTGCCATGTTTCCTGTACGATCTGCAGTACCATGAGCCAATTAAACGTATTTTTATATAAATTGCCCAGTTTCAGATATTTTCTCATAGAAGTGCAAGAATGGCCTGACACCGAAAATTGGTACTGAGGAGTAAGGCGTTAACGGAAAGATACCTGAAGAAGTAGACTAGAAGATGAAAGAATGTTTGGAACTTCTTAGAGACTGGTTGACTGTTGTTGTTACTAAAATGCTGACAGTGATATGGACAGTGCAGTCCAGGCTGACAGTGTTTCAGATAGAAATGAGGAACTTTTGGGGAACTAAGGCAAAGGTCACCTATGGTGTGCCTTAGCAAAGAGACTGGCTGCATTCTGTTCATTCCCTAGGGATCTGTGGAAGTTAGAGCCAAACAGTTTTGATTTAGTTCAGCGATGAGAGAAAGAAAGAGATGAGAGAAAATCATGTGGGAGTAAAGAAATGACCTAAAGTTCTTATATTTAAAAGGGAAGTAGAGTGTAAAAGTTTGGAGAATTTGCAGGCTTACAATGTGGCAGAGAAAGGAAAAACTTTTATGGGAGAGAAATTCAAGCAGACTGTGGAGCAACCACTTGCTAGAGAAATTTGCATAACTCAAAGGGAGTCCAGTGCTGATAGCCAAGGCAATGGGAAGAAGGCCTCAAAGGCATTTTAGAGATCTTCATGGCAGCCTCTTCCATCATAGGCCCAGAGGCCGAGGAATGAAGAACGGTTTTATGAGTCAGGCCCAAGTCCTCACTCCCCCGTGCAGCCTCCAGAAGTGGCTGTCCACATCCCAGCCAATTTGGCTCCAGCCTCATCTCAGAGGGCCCCAGATACAGCTTGGGCTGCTGCTTCAGAGGGTGCAAGCCATAAGTTTTGGCAGCTTCTCTGTGGTGTTACGCCTTAGGTGCATGGAGCGCAAAAGTGAAGAATGCTTAGCAGCCCCTGCCTAGATTTCAGAGGATGTGTGAGAAAGCCCAAATACCCCATACGGAAGCCTGGTACAGGTGTGGAATCATCACACTGAACCTCTGCTAGGGCAGTGGCAAGGGGAAATGTGGGGTTGGAGCCCCCGTGCGTAGTCCCTACTGGGGTACTGCCTCATGGAGCTGTGGGAAGGAGGCCATCATTCTCCAGACCCTATAAGGGTAGATTCACTGACAGCTTGTACCCTGTGTCTGGAAAAGCCACAGACACTCAACAACTTGTGAGAGCAGCTTCAGGAACTGAAACTTGCAAGGCCAGAGGGATGGAGCTGCCCAAGGCCTTGGGAGCCCAGCAGTGTGCCCAGTATATGGACATGAAGTCGAAGGAGATTATTTTGGAACTTTAAGTTTACTGACTGTCTTGCTTGGTGTTGAACTTGCATGGGGCCTGTAGACCCCTTTTGGCCAATTTCTCCACTTTTAAAATTTTAATTTGATTTAATTTAGTGTTTTAGGCAGAGCATAACTACGTCATTCAGGCTGGAGTGCAGTGACACCATCTTGGTAAACTGAAACCTCCGCTTCCCATATTCAAGCAATTCTGCTTCAGACTCCTGAGTAGTTGGGATTACAGGTGCCCATCACCTCACCCAGCTAATTTTATTTTTATTTTTTAATAAAGAGATTTTATCATGTTGGCCAGGCTGGTCTCAAACTCCTGACCTCGAGTGATCCTCCCACCACCCAAAGTGCTGGGATTAAAGGTGTGAGCCACACCTGGCCCAATTTCTCCCTTTTGGAATGGGAATATTTACACAATGCCTGTAGCCCATTGTATATTGGCAGTAAATTACTTTTTAAAAAATTATTTTACATGCTTATAGGTGGAAGAAAGTCATTTCCAGATGGAATTTTGGATTCAGGACTTGGAAATTTTGAGTTAATGCTGGAATGAGTTAAGAACTTGGGGAAGACTATTGATAAGGGATTATTGTATTTTGAAATGTGAGAAGGACATGAGAATGAATGGCTGATGTGGTTTGGCTGTGTCCCCTCCCAAATCTCACCCTGAATTGTAATCCCCATAATCCCCATGTGTTGTGGGAGAGACCCGGTGGGAGGTAATTGAATCATGGGGGCAGTTTCCCTCATGCTGTTCTCATGATAGTGAGTGAGTTCTCTAGAGATATGATGGTTTTATAAATATCTGGCATTTCTCCTATTGGTACTCATTCTCTTTCCTGCTGTCCTGGGAAGAGGTGCCTTCCACTATGATTGTAAGCTTCCAGAGGCCTCCCCAGCCATACAGAACTGTGAGCCAATTAAACCCTTTTTCTTTATAAATTACCCAGTATTGGGTATTTTCTTGTAGCAATGTAAGAATGAATTGATACAATGGCTTTACACAAAATTCATCTTCCATTAAAAATTAACTCCAACCAAAAAGTTACAGAAAAAGCAGATTAACTTGAAAGAGAATCATCTGTCAAATAAGAATTGGAAATGATAGGTAACATTGAAAGAAACCCTAAAATAGCACTAAAGTGGATAAAATGATTAAAGAGGAGGGGGGATATTTCATTTATAACAATTGCTAAGTAAGACTCTACTCCTTCAAAATTAATATATCAAAATAGTCATTTTATCTTGTTCACATTTTTGAGAGTTGGAAATTTCAAAATAGTTCATGGTGGACAATGTTTATCTCTGATTCACTCTGGAGGCTGGAGCAGGAGGGTCCGCTCCCATCACAGCCCTGTACTGACGTGTCTGGTTCATTGGGACTGTCTGACTTCTCTGTTTCTCTCCATGGTACATGATGTCTTACCTTCCAGGCCTTTCAAAGGCAGGTGCTATATCCTGTGACATGACATCTGGCTTTCAAGAGGGGGTTTCCCAAGAGTGAGCTTTCTAAGAGGCTGTCTTTGGAAAATACAGACTGCCACAGCAGATAAGACAGAATATTCCCCACAGGAGAGTAGAAAGCTTATAAAGTGTGTGTATGCAAGTACATAAGGAGTTGGAAATGCAGAACTGGAAAGTGTTAAAGAAAAATAGACAAGAGAGGAGCAGTGTTGCCTTCTGTCAACTGGGAATATCAGAAGGAAAAATTGTAAAAATTTTAGAAGATATAAAACCCTGGTTTTCTTCAGATATGAAAAAATTCTTGATTCTATCAAAGGAATGCTTTGAATATTGAGCAAGATAAAAAATTCAAACCTAGGCACATTGTGGTAAAACTGCAAAATATCAAAGACAAAGAGAGACATGAAAAATTCAATAGGTACAAAATTAGCAGGGCATGGTGGTGCATGCCTGTAATCCCAGCTGCTTGGGAGGCTGAGGCAGGAGAATGGCTTGAATCTGGGAGGCAGAGGTTGCGGTGAGCCGAGATTGCGCCATTGCACTCCAGCCTGGGCAACAAGAGAGAAACTCCATCTCAAAAAAAAAAAAAAAAAAAAAAAAAAAAAAAAAAAAAAAAAAAAATTCACTAGGTAGAAAAGGCAGATAATGCACAAAGAAAGCTAATCATACCGTATGTTGTAGTTTTAAAAGGTAGAGAAACCAGTGGCTGCTGGAGTATCCAAAATAGGTTTCCTGGAAGAACTGGATGTAAACCAGTCTTTGAAGCCCGAGATTTGAATAGTAGTTAAAAACCAAAGTTCTTTCCTGGGCACACACATTCTACAAGTATATGATTTGAACATGGTAGAATATATTATTTTATTAAAGGTAATGATAATAGTTAATGATTATTCACTGTTTATAAGTACAGAATGATTTTTAGGGATTTTTCAAACATGATATCATCTAATCTCTAAAATAATGTTGGGAGATGCCTGTTGTTTTTGTCATTTTATAGACAAAATTTAATTGCCAGAGGTAACTGATAGTAAGTAGAATAATCAGCATCATACCCCAGATATGTTTCTGACTATATTCAAAGGTCTTAATGTCCACACGATACTCCTCTAAAGAGACCAAGAACTGCACCTATTCATAACACCTCTACCATACTTACTTTCCATGAGGTTAATAAGAGTTTACTGTAGATGAATACGCACGTGGGGAATGCAATTTCTTTCAAAAATACAACTGCGTTTGTAGAACAGCAAAATATTTTTATAATGGGGGTGGTAGTGGGTTTCACTTTTTTATCTTGTTTTTCGAATAACAGCAACCCTCAAAAAAATAAATCTCGGATGAAATTTTCTTTATGGAACAAAAAGCACTTGCCTTACTACATTAATGCTAGAGGAAGAAGATTGATGCTTTCTTGCCTTTTACTTTTATTCACTCTTCCTTCTATGCTGTTTAGAAAATAATGGATATAAAAAAATTGCTTTAACACTTCAGACAAACCCAAATTGTGGTCTTTGCAATCGGCCTTCAGCCCACCCTTCTTACCAATCATGCCCTTTCAGTGAAGACTGAAATTCTGCCATGTCCTTCAGATTAACAATGTATACACACTCTTATGTGCATTCTCATGGATTGGATTTCAAACTCTGACATAAGGGAAATGATTATCTTATTTGAAGTATGTTAACCGTATTAAAAAATATGTGACCCTACTTACAATAAAATCATGTAACAAAATTGTAACCAGGCTTTTTATGCCCCACAGGGGCTGGAAAAACATTCAGGTATAGTATTTTACCAAAATTGCCCTTAATTTTCTCATAGATGGTCATATGGTTCAAAATATTTATAGACTTTTTTCTCTTGATTGGCATGCAGGCCATACGAAATTGGGTCAGGAAAGAACATCAAAGTCTTTTAAAGCTTGTTTCCAACTATGCATTTTTCTTTTATACATTTTTATCTTTTTGGGGGTCTTAGATACATTCTGTCTCTACATTTACAGGCTGATTTACAGACACATTTGATCTGTGTCTGGGCTGGGGATACTCATTCCTGGCTCTATTCTGGAAAGGTTTGTGACAGACCCTTGCACTCTTCAGAAGGAAGAAACCATAAGAAAATCTAATAGTGATTTTCTGCAATACTAACCTTCTTGCAATACTGATTCTGTCTTCTAGCATTGCTTCATTCATTAGATTGTACTTCATCACTATTACAGCTTGCCTGTATATTATCCTTTGTCTTTTCCCCCAGCACATAGATAGAAATAAACAATTCTTAAATGAATGAGAATATTATAGCGTAGGATGTGAATTTTACCTTTATGTGTATGGTGGGTGGGGGAAAATGTAATCATAATTCTGGAGAGAACAGTAGGTGAGGAAGAAAAGACATAGATTCTGGTCCTAACTCTGACCCTCACTGGCTGGCTATGAGGTAGGGCAGCTGAGTCATTTGGGATTTTATGTTTCTCTTCCATGGAAGTGAAGTTAATAACAAAGTAGCCAGTATTATTGACCGCTTATTATGATAGTGCCAGGAACGTTTCAGACTTTTGTGTGCATAAACATATTTAATTGATATTATGTAAGGAATTAATAATATTGCCTCTTCAATTTGAGAAACCCTAGGTAGGGAGAGCTAAATAACTTCCCAAGTCACACAACCTTTAGAGAAGGATTGATCCTAGGGCAGCTAGCCTAGTGTCTAGCCTCATCCTCTAAGTTACAATTGCTTCCCTTGAAGTAGTAGTAGTGGGTGAAATAGCTTCATAATCTTTAAATTCCTTCCAGTTCTAACATGACCGACACAATTCTTAATTTCCTCCATTGTTGGTAAGTAAAATACTTAGGTAGAAAGTGGAATCTGTAGAAGATAAAATGCTTAAAACATCAGGAAATCTGATGAAGGCAAATCTGAAATAGAGATCTTGTTGAGGTACGACATTTTTCAAAATAAAAGCCATTTAGAGGGGATACCTGGGTGGATCATGGTGGATGGGAGGCAGGACTAGATTTCAGCTCCAATTCGGTGGGACAGAGCAGCATACGGAGGCTGATGTCATGAATTTTTGCTCCGGAATGACTCTAGAATCGGGAAACCTGAGAGGACCCACAACCCCCCTGCAGGAAGTGGATTGCTCCTGCAAGACCCAGGAGATACCCGAAATGATGTGAGTGCCCACACTGTGGAAGTGGGAAAGAAAGAACATTTGCCCTCAAACATACACCCCCACTGGGGAAAATGAAGGTCTATGTTATGAGACAAGATTCAGACAGTACCTGGAGCTGAGTCAACTTACAGAGCTGAGCCAAATACA